TCAACTTCAAAACCAATTATTCATGCATTAGATACTATTTCTGTCTATATTTCGAGAGTGCATTCCACTCAAAGTTTAATTCCCGATAACTCCGATAATCATTTTTGCTGATTCTGGTGTACATTGGGGCTGAATGGATATTATTCTCAGTCGGTCGTTTGTATATGGAAATTGACTTTAAGTACAGATTAGCCGCGTTTCATGATTTAATAGTAACTCTTTCTTAGTGCGCTGACTTTCATGTTTTAAAACAACTCAAGGGATATATCCGCGGACATATCTTGCTGCGACTGAGATCTTACAAACTTACATCGGCTTATTAAAATGTTTAATATGCTTCCGTTAATTTTTCAGTAGTATGATAAATATCATCATCATCGTCAACATCATCATCAAAACTGTATCGATTTGAGGTCATAAATTAACATGTTCTCTCTGTTACAGTTTTTTGGATATATGTATGTACTACTGAGCCAGTCAAAATCAGCTGACTCATTTTATAGTCCACCAAGGGAAGGGTTAACCAATCAGAAAGCTCAAAATATTCAATACGACGTGTATAAAGGCAGCCATTTTTTTCTCCCCAAAATATCTTCACTGCCAACTTGATATCGAAGACTTAAAGAATTACTTAACAGCCGCTACTTTCTCTGAATCTTCACTGCCAACCTCTGATATTGAAGACATTACGGACTTCACTGGATTTCATATTCAAAGACTACGACAAACATGGTCAACACTCTCATCTTCAGTGACATAATATGTTTTATTATTCAATGAAATAATTCGACAACATTTTACCAGCCTTCTCTGTCCTTTGCGAGTTTGCGGATTCGTTACAGATTGTAAACTTCTCCAAAGGAAAAGTGGGATCTTTCTGCCTTGTTCTTTGAATGTCTAGGTTCAGCGTTATGATTATAGTGGTTCTTGGATGACCTCTGAACTTTTTGAAGTCAGTCTTTTCAAAGTAAAACTCTGTGTCTTAAGGTTTTGATTTTGAGATTAATTCTTTCTTTTTGTTAACATTCGTATGTTTTCTTTTTCATAAACAGTGAACTTTATTACAGACCCACTGCCTGATATTTCCAACATTGATGTACATTATTCCTTCATTTACTGTTGACAACAAATCCATTTCCATAATATTTGCATTCTGTCTCTAAACATATCAGCTGGTGTTCGCATTTGCCGATGTTACAGTTCAGACCAGGTCCATTTTTTGTCACTTGTAAGCAACACACGTCTACTTTTTACTTTTCTATCTCTATCGCAAATTGCTTTTGCTTCTCAGTCCGAAACAAACCTTGTACATTGAACGTTCCAACTGAAAAAATCTTGACGTTGGAAGTTCAATAGCATTTTCCGATGATTGTCTTTCTCAGAATGCAATGTCTTAAACAAGTAGTTACTGCGTAGCTGTAACTGGAGCAGCCATTACCTCCTCCGCCAATAAATAAGCATATACAAGGTTTATTTTTTTCTCCAAAAAACAAATAACGTAATCGAAATTAATTTTATATATCTACAGTCATCATTTCTGACCTGACATCTCGACTTCAGTCACTTTCCCACCTCCGTGACATTAATTCCTCGAGATCTTTTCTATAAATATTTTCATGGTAATTGTTCTAATGAGCTTTCCTCGATGGTATCTAGATCGCATGAATTTAAAGATAATTTTAGATTGTCAAATACGTTTCAATGTTTTACTGTTGAAATAGCTAAATTTAAACTTAAATTCTATTCTAATGTTTTCTCTTCTGTCACTTCTCGCCTGTAGAATTCTGTTCTGTCACTTCTCGCCTGTGCAATTCTCTTCTGTCAATTCTCACCTGTGGAATTCTCTTCTGTCACTTCTCGCTTGTGAAGTTCTCTTCTGTCACTTCTCGCCTGTGCAAATCTCTTCTGTCACTTCTCGCTTGTAAAGTTCTCTTCTGTCACTTCTCGCCTGTAGAATTCTCTTCTGTCACTTCTCGCCTGTGGAATTCTCTTCTGTCACTTCTCGCTTGTGAAATTCTCTTCTGTCACTTCTCGCCTGTCAATTCTCTTCTGTCACTTCTCGCCTGTAGAATTCTCTTCTGTCACTTCTCGCCTGTAGAATTCTCTTCTGTCTCTTCTGTCTTCTCGCCTCTCTTCTTGTGTAGAATTCTCTTCTGTCACTTCTCGCCTTCTCGCCTGTAGAATTCTCTTCTGTCACTTCTCGCCTGTGGAATTCTCTTCTGTCACTTCTCGCCTGTGGAATTCTCTTCTGTCACTTCTCGCCTGTGGAATTCTCTTCTGTCACTTCTCGCCTGTAGAATTCTCTTCTGTCACTTCTCGCCTGTGCAATTCTCTTCTGTCACTTCTCGCCTGTGCAATTCTCTTCTGTCACTTCTCGCCTGTAGAATTCTGTTCTGTCACTTCTCGCCTGTGGAATTCTCTTCTGTCACTTCTCGCTTGTAAAGTTCTCTTCTGTCACTTCTCGCCTGTGGAATTCTCTTCTGTCACTTCTCGCCTGTAGAAGTCTCTGTTTGTATCTCTCCATTTTATCCCACTCACAGTTAGTTGTTGTCGGCATTGTATTTTCACATCTCTCCAGCGCTAGTTTTCGATAATCTGACTCTCTTTTCAGCGTCTTTGCTTTTTCTATGGGTTGAATAGCAGGACTGTGTTCTTTTGGTTTGGTTGGCAAGCAGTGTGTCGTAGAAATAAATGATAACCCACTGCGGGGAAAATCTTCTGCCTCCTCAGTCATGTATCGAAAGATACATGATCTTCCATGCGTGTATCACGGGTGGCACTTAACTGACTGACTGAATCTTGTCGTGCAGATGGCTTCAATTCCGCCTCTGAATTCTAGCTGGTTAAACTTTTTGTACAGTTCCAATTCCATCAATAATGGCGGATGTAATTATCAACCTTCATGTTCCTCAATTTTTCCAGAACTCTCATGGAGATATTTCGTTCGGTTTTTCTTTTTTTACAGAATGGTTTCGTCTTGATGGGATCTGATTAAATGGGTCTTTTGAATTTCAAATTCCCCGAAAATTTATTTTTGTTTTTCTCAACTTCAGACTATTATTATTATTATTATTATTATTATTTCCTTTGAATTCTGGTAAGTACACATTTCTTTCCGGGTCCCGCCCAGAGAGTTAAAGTTAGAAATGGCATCATCACATTTTCCACTGACCAATTAAACACACACACACACGCACACACTTATTTAACATAGATAAAGCCTTTCGTAAGGTGTGGGTTGTACTCGTGAGAACATTTTTTTTTTTGTATTTCTTTAAGTCATGGGCTTCCAGGAATCCCTTCAATGAGTCTACTGAAATCTTTTCCAAGCAATCCTAGGGATCCAACTACAACAGGGATTGTTGAGATTTTTATTTCAATGTCTTTGTATTTTGAGAGCTTTTTGAAGATCTTCAAACATACGTTGCAGTCTGCAGGGACTGCCATATCAATAAGGAGGCACTTTTTTGTTTGCGGTCTCTCTGGGACGTTAGTTTTGATTGTTTTGTCTGTGTGTAGTTAGCTTTTATTGTTCTGGCTGTGTGTTATTATTATTATTATTATTATTATTTCCTTTTATATCTGTTGTATACACATTTCCTTTCGAGTCCCAGCGGAGAACTTAGGTCACACCGATCATTATTGTAAAAAAGAAAAAGAGAAAGAAAAACTAATATCACACACATTTTACATAGAGAAAGTACTTCGTAATGTGTGAGCTGTACTTGTAAGTACAGTTTCCTCTATTTCTTTAAAGCACGGGCTACCCGGAATCCCTTTAATGTGTCTGGCGTAACCTTTTCAAATCAATCCGAGGACACCATTTACGACTAGAAATACTGACATCTTCATGTGCCACATGTTTTAGATTTCCACTTCAAGATCTTTAATAGTTTTTGAAGATCTTCAAAGATACATGAGAATCTATACATTCCGTACATGTGGTCTCTGATCACGATGTTTGGACGATGAGTTTTGATTTTTCTGTCTGTGTGGATTGTAAAGTCCCATAAATTTGTAATAACTGTGTCTGAATGATGTTTATACCAGTTTGTTGTAATTATTTTTCCGTAAAAGTTGCATATTTCCAGTGCAAATATTGGCGACTCTATCTTGCCGATTTTTGTATTCGGTTGTGGATAACACTGTGCCAACTCATACAAGATGGTCAGTTATTTCTGGATATTTATCACAAAATCTGCATTTGAAGTCAACACATTTTTTCAGGACGTGTGCTTGGTAATTTCTAGTTAGCAATCATTTGTCCTGTGTAGCGAGAATAAAACTTTCAGTTTCAGCTTTTAACCCTGCACTACGTAACCCACTAATGAATACGGGGTTTCTCTACATCAGTTTGTTTGGTGCGGGCAGAATATTGACCATAAAGAAGCTTACCTTGCCATCGTTGCTGCATTTGGTACATTGCATTTGCTTTTTTTTTAGGTTCCTGTTATAGTGGAACACACCTATTCAATAGTTAATAGACTCTCCCACCTATAATAAATAGGAGTACTAAGAGTAACAAGGCAGTCGCTCAGAGAGTTGTTCAGTCAGTCGATGTCGGACGACCGTTAGTCGGATATTAAAGTATCAGCCACCCCAGCTAGATTGCTGCGTCATTACCTCTTATATCAAGTTCCTAACGTTTTGTACGTCGAACCTATTTTAGGACCGACTTAGTACAAATACAAGCCTCCACTGTGAAACCCCTACATAACAACTTGGCGACGAGGTATTCGGATTCATGCGGAGGAAGAAAAACCTTTCGTACACTGCATAACAGTTCCTTACCGCTGCATTAGGTGCATTAAGGTTTACTTGCATTTCTTCGCCCAACTTGAAATTCCATTTTGAATTCGTTGGCTTCTTTTATTACTGAGTAAATTTTCATATTTCTTTCATGTTCTTTGACGCAGATTTCTGTCGTTTTCAGTTTTATTATTATTATTATTATTATTATTATTATTATTATTTATTTATTTATTTATTTATTTGTTTGTTTATTATTTAATTTCATAATTTTTTCCCATGAGTTAATGTTTTGTAATTATTTGATGTTTAGCGGACCAGAACAAGCAACCTTAGATATTACGCAATGTTCCTCTGAGTCTAAGTGTTCATCACTTTTCGGATTATTCAGGCTAATCCTAAGAGGCTTCCTTTCTGTAACTATGCCAATTTTCTTTATCCATGTCGCCATTTTGACAATCATCGTGCCAAACGAACCATTGACAACTGATATTGTTCTGGCCAATTTCGTCTTCCAAAGCGTTGCAAGTTCCAACTTCAATAAGTAATTTTTGATTAACTTCTTTTCTTTCTTTGACTTTTTCCAACGAAATCCGGCATCTTTTAACTCAAGGACTCTCTTAGTAATTCTCGGGTTAATTCTATGAAAAATTAATAGTACAAATGCTTTCTAGAAGATCAGATTCTGAAACCAATTAATCTGACTAATCAGGTGAAATTTTCAAATCCACTAATTGCCCGACTTATCAACCATGATCTCTAAAGACAAACATCGATATTTGCAGGGATATTTTTACACCAGTTGATGTTTGGAAGAGATAACTATTGAAAACACACGAATATTAATAGAAAAGTTAACGATGAAGCCAGTGGATAGAGTTGCATATGTGCACAAGTGTATAGGTGGTACAGGCTTATCGATTGATCGAATGCTTATTTCCGATTTCTACGTATGACCTGATTAATTTCTGACCTGCACAGAAGAATAGATATGCAGGCTAAGAAGATATAATAAAGATTAGCAAACAAAAACAAAATGTAAGTTGACGCAAAAACAAACTTGATAAAGAACACGTATTTTTACTAACCGTTTACGTACATTAAGTACAATACGTACTAAACAATATATACATATATATATATATATATATATATATATATATATATATATATATACTAGCAGCATGGCTTGGCGTTGCCCGTGCCTGATTCAAAAATCGTACAACTCATACAGCAATCGCTATCAACTTTGCCGTGCTGATGTTGCTAAATGCCTTACTTCTTGCCTATCTCACACTGAGAATTTTTTCTAAGCTCTATACTAAACATTAAATCTGTTACGAAAAAAGAACTAAACAAAATGAACACAAAACCATCAGCTTTAAAAAAAATTACTCGTAACTGGAAAAACCGAAAGAAAAAAGAATGTTAATAACAAATACTTTTTCACACCCACCCCAGTTCTGAGGAATCAGAATCAACGTTGAGTTTAAGCAAGCGAATGAGCCAATTGGAGTAAAGTGCCATGCAGATTTAATCTTTTCCCACTTGTGACGAATATAGCAACCGATTTTTTTCTTTGCATGCTAGCATGCTAGTTAACATTCGTGTCAGTCAGCTGTTGGCTCTCACGCTGGCCAATAAAATCTTCCTGCCTATTCGTGACAGCCAGCTATTGGCTCTCATTCTGGTCAGTAGAAAATGGCCGCAAACTACATGAAAACTGCCGTAGAAGCATGAAAAAGTCGATTATTTCCACTATCGATGGGTGTTGGGAAATGCAACGTCGGTCTTGGCCTTTCCATTAACTTGGAGCATCTGCATGTAAATTTTGGTGCAAATCCGTCGAAAATTGCGACCGTGCATTCGTTACACACACACACACACACACACACATCATCCTGCCTTATATATATATATATATATATATATATATATATATAAAAGGAGAGATTAAAGTTGTTCCAACGAAAGAAAGGTGTATTTCTTAAAGAGAAGACGCAATTGTTTTTGGTTATAACGTTATTTTTTAAATATATATTAAATTTGATTTTCCATATTTTTTACACGTGTTACAGGTCTTGTGACCGTCATCATTAGAAGAATAGTTATTTGCACATATTATTTAAAGAATTTTTTTTCCTTTCTGTTTTCCTATGTTTAACCATTGTCTTTTGTGTGTGGTAGTAAACCAAATTCTTCCACCTTTCTCTAACCTATACTAATTGTTTAATTAGCCTTTGTTCAGAGGGACATTTTCTCCACCAATCCAAGAATTTGGATTGCTACCACACACAAAAGGCAATCTTTAAACATTGGAAAAACATTTATTTCCTTTAAATAATATGTGAAAATAACCGTTCTTCTCCTGATGACACTCACAAGACCTGAAAATACGTGTAGCAAAAATATAGAAAATAAGGCATAATATATATTTTTAAAAATTAAATATATATATAAATCTACATTATAACCAATAACATTTGCGGCTTCTTTTTTCCCTTTAATATATATATAACTTTCATTGCAGATAGATTTTACTTAAAGGAACAATTAGTTAGCTTATCTTCATACCCTGCCTGGTGGCAAACGCTGCTGGTGGCACCAGGGGTGGCGGTCCCGCCATAGCCACCGAAATCGTGATATCACCCCTGGTCGGCGGCTGACGAATACACAGTATCGCACGTGCTAACACACGTTGTTGTTATATATATATATATATATATATATATATATATATATATATATATA